TGTGTGTATAAATTTTAAAAAAAAAACAAAAAAAAAAAAAACCCTTCACTCCCATTAGTGTACAACTGAAATTTGAAATGAAAAAAGAAAAAAATATATTTATATTTTATTGAATTCTAGAGGAGAGGGAAAAAAAAGTCACTTCCTGATTTACATGTCCCTAACGCTCACGGAGCACAAGCAGATAGTTTTGATCAAGTTGTCACAATGGTATTTTAATTGCATATCTTCATTTTAGATAAATTAGTGTATAAATTAATCCACTGTCTCTATACCATCCCTGCCATGCATAACAATAAGTCACCAGGAGGCGACACTGTTACCTGTGAGATTTTCACTGAGAACATTTTTCTTTTCTCATATCAGTAAAATAGATCTACCAACTCTTTATTCTGCTAATTATCAATTAACATCAGGTTTGTTTCATGAATAACAATGAAAAATGTGATATCTCGCACACAGTGCCTGAAGTGGGCTCCCTTTGTGATGAGGCCAGTAGTCCCAATCTTTATAAAGCAGCTACTACAGAATGTGTCTTCTCATGTCGTGTAAGCTGCGATTTATAATCAAAGTGCTTTCCACAGCTATGGCAAACATGTGGTTTCACGCCAGTGTGAGTTCGCTGATGTACAAGAAGACGAGACATGTAGTTAAAGTTTTTCCCGCACTCAGAACATCGGTGAGGTTTTTCCCCACTGTGTGACTGTAGGTGAATGACAAGGCTTGACTTGAAGGTAAACTGCTTCCCACATAGGTGGCACATATGAGGCCTCAACCCTGTGTGTCTTTTAAAATGTTCGATCAGATATCCTTTGCAGCTAAATTGTTTCCCACACTCACTGCACTTGAATGGTTTCTCTCCTGTATGTATTCTTTGGTGGACAATGAGTTTTTGGCGGGTGGTAACTTTTTTGCCACATTCACTACATTGAAAAGGTTTCTCACCTGTATGTGTCTTCTGATGTAGAAGAAGACGTGATTTGTGAGGAAATGTTTTTCCACAGTCATTGCATTCGTAAGGTTTCTTTTCCTTGTTTAGTGCAGGCGCCGTGCTGAAATTGTATATATGGTTATTGTTTGGAGAACATGCATCATAATTACTCTTTGTCTCAAACCGCACATCCTTTGTCACTTCAATGTCATCGACTAAATGATCATGTGGGTTTTGGTCACTTTGACCAGATAATGAAATACACAAAGTATTTGTGATATCGAAGGAAAGTGAATCATCAGGGTTTTTATCAACAAAGTTTCCATCCTTAAAGCCATGAGACACGTTGGCATTGTCCACACCTTCCACGGAATAAAGGTCTTTATGGGATTCATCAATCACATCCCGGGACTTGATTTCATCTGGCAGGAAAGGACAAATGATGAGTACAGATGTAACAGGTTTATTTTAGGGAAGAGATAAAAGAGGAGATGTTATGAAAGAAAAAGTCCAGATAAAAGAAAAAAGGAACCAGGATGTAAAGAACATCCATTCAAAATGAATTATAAGAACATATTAGCAGAGCATATATACAGCCTTTCCAAAGAAAATTTTCAAATGATGCGACTTACCCAAATAACAATACAAAGCTCTGCTCATTGTCCTGTACTACAACTCACATTGCATTATGGGATTTTCATGCATTCTTTCCCTCATCACTATAGTTAGATTACATCTCTATGCTGACAGCAAAGAGAACAAGCAAAAATATCTATTAAGGCATTCCTTAGCACAATGTACAAATCAAATGTCTTGTTCTCCAAAATTACATAGCATTTCTTTCCCCCGTGTCTGTGACTGACATACATACAATTAAGGCAATGAATATATGGCACTTCTATGTTGCTTTGGTAACATTAAATTAGTTTTTTTTTTAAATCTCACCAACACAACTACTTATCCAGAAAGATACCCTGGCCTAAAATGTTAAACTCATTGGTCAAGTTCAAATGTAGTAAGTAACCCTGACAGTGTTCACGATCACACTATCTTTATAAACAAACTCAACCTCGTAAATGTCAGTTATTCTAACATGACTCCTAACAAAAAGGCTGATCTTTGAACGATCGCCCGTGGTTGCTGTAACTATCATACAAAAGGACTGCCCTTGTGGTTGGGATCAGTCTGATTTGCAAATGGTGTAGGCTTATCAAACAAACCACTATTAGAATGTGAAGAAGTTTGTCAGTTTCCTGATTGGATGAGGGTTTAGGATTCAGAGAGGTCTCGTACTTGCATCGTTGTGTAAACTTATTTTCTCTGTATCCATTCGCTGTTTAAGTTTCTCATCCTTATCTCCCTTGACTTTTGATACACTCTCAGGATTTTCATTGTAAGGACCCGTTACATTCACATTTAAAATGGATATTACAGAGATAAAGCAAAATATGGTCAACTTTAAAATGCATTATATACAGGTGGACCAAAATTCAGTAACAGCACGCTCCACCCCTCACCCTCGCCCCCCCAGATGGCACTCAGTCAGACACAGTGCGCTGCTAGACAGTGGGACGTCACGGGGAAGAGACATGGATGGAAGGAGGAAGACACCTGGAAGGAGAGGGGAAGGGAGATATTCTTCTAATGAAGAATTATTTATGTCCGCATGCAGTCTAATGTTTATCTGCAAAGTGAATAGAGAAAAATATCCACTACAAAAAATAATATAAAAAATACACAACTGTAAACAGTGTTACCTGTTTTCTGATTTTCTGGGTTTTCATTAGTACTTTCTGTTGAACAATTCTCTATCACGAGGTCTTTGTAAATGTCCTTGTGACCTTCTATATAATCCCACTCCTCCTTGGAGAAATAAACGGAGACGTCCCCACATTTTACAGGCACCTGTAACACAGTTCCATTCCAGTTCAGGGTTATCACAGGGCAAATAATTATATGAGACACTCACAGCTAGTCAGGAGGGGGAGAGAATTGGTATCAACAGTGAGAACTTGGGGACCATAAAGTATCTGTACTCTGAAGGAGGTACAACGTTACAAGGTCCAGCACAGCTCACCTCTCCAGTAGCCAGGTGAATGCTACTACTGGGGGACGTCTTCTTTATGACAACATATTCCTGCACAACAAGGAGGCATGTAAGATTTAAGCATTAAAGTCACTGTAAGGAGTAAAAACACATATTTTGGTTACAGCATTCCCTTAAAAAGTTGTGTGAGAGTGCGGGTGCAAACAGAGTACATAAAACGGTTACTGGCAGAGCAACATTGTTGAGAAATAAGACATTTGAAAATTGGAGAAGAAATGCACTTTGTGAAGATCCTTGTAGGTTACAGTCAATATTTTTTCTCCATTTATAAATTTGTTGCCAGAGGGAAACAGAAGACAAGCAGTGGGTAAGGAAAGTAAGCTTACCTGCAGTATTTCATTATAGGTTTGTGACTTGTGGCAAACTAGGATTCCACCTCCCAAATTCTTCCCCAAAAGACATATCACTATCCTTGGCTCTCACCACCTAACACTCCATGTTTTGTACTCAAAAGTGCCTCTCCTCAGGGCTGGCAAATGATTCCAGGGAGCTGGGGTTAACTGCGAGGACTGTAGAAAGATGTAGCCTTATTTCTCTGGAACTCTGTCTTGGCCGTGGTCACTCACATGGCCTGGTCCGCCTTCAGCACTGGTTTTCCCCAACTTCCCAGCAAGCCAGGAGAGTGCTAATTGGAGGGGAGGTACAAAAGACTAAACTGAACAATCTTTCCCTGAGAGCCAGGGGGAGCACCAATTCGTCAGGCCGCAGTAGCTCATGATATTTGACTGGCAAAAGAAATAATTGCTCTGAAACTCTTTTCGGCGTAGACTTTGATAGCGGCCAGTCAAATCTTTACCCTGGTGGTGATTTGGCAATTCTTTATGGATCCGAGTGCTATTTTACCAAAATGGGTCCTCCGATCACAGCTATCCAGTGATGTATCACATGTGGGGGTTCCTGCCTGTTTTATTGTGTTTTTTGGGGTATTTTATGTTAGCCTCTAGGAGATAAATCGATTTAAGCGAGGGCTAACCTAATTTTCTCCCAGACACAGATGCCAAAGTGGGATCATGTATGCTTCGTAATTCGTATAGAGATCTCATGCTGGGGCTCCATCTATATAAGAATGCGTTATTTCCAATAAAATCAGATATACTTCCAGAATCATGTGTCGTCTGGTTACTGGTACATGGGGGGCTATATTCACTCAACAACGCATCTTCCAGGGAGCTATCCAGCCGAGATGAAGGAGCTCTGCTACAATAGTGTCTCACTTAGTGACTGCTCTTTAAAGTCACAGTGATATATTAAATTTCTTACCTCTCCAGTCAGTAGGTAGATGATTCCCAGAGCGTGATTCAAGATCCTCTCTGCTACCCGCTTCTTGTCAATGATCCTCTTGTTTATCATTATCCAGGAGTAGTACAGGTGATCGAGTTCTGTCTGGGTGTTACTGTGAGGCATATATGAATAAAAGTGTCTGTAAAGGAATCTGGGATATATAGAGAAATAATTCTACAGTTCCACACGTGCATGGAGGGGTTAATTGAATTGACATTGTAGGCCTTGTAAATAAAAAATATAAACTGTATGGAGACTGGTAAGAAAATAGAAGCACAAATCATAGCTAACTTTTCCTGACATTATTCATGGCAGCATTTACTCATGGGTTAGCTCCTCCCCTTACAGCAGAAAGGACAGGAAATAGAACTCTGAAACTGGTATAAATAGATCCTCCCCTTCCCATCAGGCAGTCTTTTTTCCTGTCCTTCACAGCAGTTTGGAAGGAGTTTGCTTATGCAGGCCTAGATTTTTCTTTAATGCTCACCAGGCAATATTTTTGTAGCCCTGCCGGGGTTCAGCCTGTAAGCCCTGAAGACCCAGCAATGCACTATTGTAAGGTAGCCAGCCTGGGTACCCCCTTTAGTGACCGGGGGTCGGACCCAACCTCTCCCTTAAGGGATGAAAATGGTCCACTGCAGGCCAGGGTTCAGCCACTTATCCCTGAAGACCCAACAAAAAGGCCAGCTTGGGTACCCCCTCAGGGGATGAATGTGATATACTGCCTACAGGAAGCCAGGCCAGGGTTCAGCCTCTTATCACTGAAGACCCAGCAACAGGCCAGCTTGGGTAGCTCCTCAGGGGATGAATGTGATTGTGACAGAACTATCTGTTTATTGCTGCTGGATTCGTCTGTTTTGCCCCGTTCGTGTAAATGGCTGGTTCCTATAGCCCAGCCATACGAATGACCGTTTTTCCCGAACAAAACTACCGAACGGATGGCCACCCAGGAGTGAAGTGTGCTGCTGGTTAACGTATTGATCCCAATTAGAACGTTGTGGTTAACCGCAGACACTTCTCAATTAAACCGAATTCAGGGTGGTCGTTCGTATGTCAACCACGAGGCAGCGGCCATTTTAAAACACGCGAAAGCCCAGCGGCGTTCGGCTCTATTTTCATGGAACTAAAAACGGACACTTTTTCTGCCGAACACCGCTGAAACAACGGAACCCCTGACTGCCTCCACGAAAGCATACGAATACCGGCCGTTCGTGAGTTTTGTAGCATACGAAAGGACTTAACCCAGATAGCCTTCCCATGGAGTCATTCGTATACCGAAAGACTGTAAGAACTTTGACTCCATGGCAATTGAACTATGTGTGTGGGATCTGAGCGCTATTCGCTAATAATATGCACTCAGATCCAGGCTATCTGGGGATATGTGATGCGAATGGGAAATGTTCGTTTTTGTGAAGTTATGTATTTTTATGTCTTTTCTGATTTTATATTTAAAATGGCGACTGGCTTTGTCCTGGAGATAATTGAGTTACTTATTAATTATCTCCAGGGCAGAGGGGAGGAAACCATATTGCATTGTGGTTAAAAGCTGTGACTGTGTGTCTGGAATGTCCCCATATCTGTCTGTCATTTCAGTCTCCCATTTGGTCCCCTAGGGGAGTGTCCACCAAGTGGGAGACCTGCATAAATACAGGCAGGTAGCCCACAGTAAAGCCAGATCCTGTTTGACCCTCAATGCGGAGATTCTGTCTCGTTATTGGGGGGGATTTCTTTTTTACACTTAGAGACTGCTGGATGGAACCGAAAGGCGCTTGGTGGATTTTATTGTTCGGCGGCTAGCAGCAGTTTGTGGATTGCCGTTCGGGAGTTTGGAGCCGTTCACAGATCCCGGTCGGGAGATTGCCACTTCCCCTGAGCTTGGTTCGTGCACTCCAGTTTATGCGAACGGAGATTATTGGTATTGCAGAAGGGGAAGGTCGACTAAACGGCGGTTTTGTTTAAAGACACCAGGGGTGTCTTAACAGTGATATACTGCCTACAGGAAGCCAGGCCTGGGTTCAGCATCTTATCCCTGAAGACCCAACAACAGGCCAGCTTGGGTACCCCCTCAGGGGATGAATGTGATATACTGCCTACAGGAAGCCAGGCCTGGGTTCAGCATCTTATCCCTGAAGACCCAACAACAGGCCAGCTTGGGTACCCCCTCAGGGGATGAATGTGATATACTGCCTACAGGAAGCCAGGCCTGGATTCAGCATCTTATCCCTGAAGACCCAACAACAGGCCAGCTTGGGTACCCCCTCAGGGGATGAATGTGATATACTGCCTACAGTATATCCCTGAAGACCCAGCAAGCAGCACATCTGCATACATGAGGCCCAGCCGAGTCTAAGCCTTGAAGACCCAGCAAACAGCACTTCCATAAGGTGACTACCTGGGTATTCCTTTTCTATGTGTTCCACCTCGTATGGGGTTGGTTAAACCTCCTCTCACTGGTGATGATGAATGGCATATGGGGTACAGATGGAAGCCTATAGTTTAAACAGTTTAGGCTGTCCGTTGTTCAAATCCCCATTTTGCAGCTGAAACACAGGCCTGCAGCTGTTCAGGTAAGTGCATTAGTAATTTAGATTAAAACTAGTATAGGCACCTGGGTCTCTGTTTTTTTAGTTCCTCCCAGCTGCTTAGATTAGGCTTCCTTCTAACAAATAGGTTACATTTAGGAGATTTGTGTGGTGAGCATTTAGGTAAGTTTATACATGAAAGGAGGCATTGTGCAAAAGAGTGCTGATAATGCAAGGAGGCATTGTGCAAAAGAGTGCTGATAATGGATATCCTGGCTGTATAAAGTCTGCTGGAATTTCACAGTCCTGAAGAAATATCCAAGGTAAGAGAACTTTCCAGGGTGACTGAAGTACTCACATGTATATGATAGGTTTTTAAAACCTAACTCTAAGTCCACACACACTTGTTCCTATCAAGATATGTGGCATTGATTGCCGTTATCTGTGCATTATCGCAAATAAGCAGGCTTTTCCAGAGAGTGGAGGAATATACTGCATATGAGACCACGGGGCCTCAGTATCCATACATAATCTGGTGGTGGTACAGCATCCGTATATTTTCACTTTATGCTCTAATATATGAACCGAGTGTGTCCAGTATATGCTCCATGTATGGGTTACTATAAAGGACAAGGCCTCAGTATAGGTATCCGCTACATGCTCTATGTAGGAGTTACTAGGAGAATACGGCCTCAGTATATGTATCCACTACATGCTCTATGTAGGAGTTACTAAGAGAATACGGCCTCAGTATATGTATCCGCTATATGGTCTATGTAGGAGTTACTAGGAGAATACGGCCTCAGTATATGTATCCGTTATATGGTCTACAGGACCGGCGCTTCCTATAAGGCGAACTAGGCAGCCGCCTAGGGCGCCATATAGGAGGGGGCGTCCTGCGTCCATCGCCGGCCCTTTAAATGTAACAGCCGCCTGAGCGCTCTACAGAGAGCGCTCAGGCGGCTGACGCACTGCCTCACCTCCCCGGCACTGTAGCGTGGCCGAGCTCCTTTCCGGTCCGCGAACCAGTCGGACTGACAGGAAGTGCACACTGAGTGTGCACTTCCTGTCAGTCCCGCCGGGTCGTGGACCGGATAGGAGCTCGGCCACGCTACAGTGCCGGGGAGGTGAGGTCAGAGAGATGCAGGGGGATAAGATTACGGGGGTAAGGGGGGAGAGGGATAAGATTACAGGGGGGGGGGAAAATAAGATTACAGGGGAGAGGAGTTCTATTGAGACACAACCTCAGTATATGTGTCCACTATATGGTCTATATGTGAGTTTCTATGGGGACACAGCCTCAGTATATGTATCCACTATATGCTCTATGTGTGAGTTACTATGAGGACACAGCCTCAGTATATGTACCACTATAGGCTCTGTGTATGAGTTACTATGAGGACACAGCCTCAGTATATGTACCCACTATAGGCTCTGTGTATGAGTTACTATGGGGACACAGCCTCAGGATATGTATCCACTATATTGTCTACGTATGAGTTGATCAGAAGTCTCGGCTCAGTTTGTTTTTCTTTATTTGCTCTGAAAACACAGCCTCAGTATATGTCCTCTACATGCTCTATATGTAAGTTGGTGTGGACATTGCTTCAGTGGATCTGTTCACTATATGCTTGATGTATTAGTGGAAACACAATATATGTGAATGATACAAGACACATCCTCTATGAGTCCAATCTAATACAGGTTTTTTTGTGTGGGTTATTAGTCACAACGTCAGTATATATGAGTGGTGTAATATGTGCATGAAGTTCTGTTGAAAACAGCCTCAATTTATCGTAGAAACGTGTCAAAACAACCTTAGGACAATAGCCTGTGATGTCTACTTTATATAAATATATACTTTTGTGTGGCAATTTTGTTTTCTTTTATGGCTATTAAGTTTACAAGACAAACATACCAAATTCCAAAATCGCTCCACATTAAAAGTTTCAAAAATGGGTCGCAAGAGTATCCTGAGGACGGGCAGCAGCTGAAATAGCCTGACCTTCGGTCGTCCCCGCTCAGTTCTCAAGCTGATTTTTGCTCATCTTGTGCCATTACAGAGAGCACATATCTGAAGCATATCAGACTGGTCCCAGCCATACGGGCAGTCCAGATCCGAAATGCCAGCAAGTTCTCTCTGCACGAGAGATACAGCAACCCCAACCCATTTTTGACTCTCTACAAGTTTAAAGGGTAATCCAGACATGGACCCCTTGCTCACGGAGCCTAGAGAGATATCAGCTATGCCTCACTGATGATGCCTAACAAGGCTGAAATGATCGTCTGGGGTTGCTGTGTCTCTCGTGCAGAGAGAACTTGCTGGCATTTCGGATCTGGACTGCCCGTATGGGTGGGACCAGTCTGATATGCTTCAGATATGTGCTCTCTGTAATGGCACAAGATGAGCAAAAATCAGCTTGAGAACTGAGCGGGGACCCACCGAAGGGCAGGCTATTCTCTTGCGACCCATTTTTGACTCTCCACATTAAAAGTTTATTTTACTCCTTGTGCTTTGTGACCTGTAACTAAAAAACCCTTAAAATCCCAGACACATTATATATTCTGTAAATCAGAACAACTAAATTAATTTATTTTTAATTACTTTCCTTAACCTGCACTAATTATGCACACATTATTATTGCAAAAACTGTAAAAAAACCAAAATGTTTCATTTTTATGTAATATATATATATATATATATATATATATATATATATATATATATATATATATATATATATATATATATATATATATATCTCATCAAATTAAAGCCCTTTCTGTACTTTAATAAACGGTATATAATGTGTGTCGGAGCAATAAATTAGTAAAATACAAATTGCAGTTGAACGTAAACAGCAAAAAAATGCTGTTATTAAGTGAAAGACAAGCTTCTGAAGGTCTGTCCTTAAGGGGTTAATAGCCTGGTGTGTCTGTTCTCATCCAACATTCTGTTATGCCTTTGTCAAGGGTCTGATCTGATGAGGTCATCAATTTGGTTTTAAATTTTATATCAAAATGGCATTATCCTTCTCTAACTTAGGCTATCATGGCCTTAATTCCTTTCTGACACTAGAATTATTCAGGATATTTCAGATATTGAATGCCAGGAGGTTGCTGACCTTGCAGACTCTAGGTTAATTAACTTGTCTGAGCAGAATGTATGACAATATCCTATTGATGTCTTGTTTGGCTTTTTTAAAGTCTTCTAAGGTTTATGCAGCTCAATAATGGTTTTATAGCTATTGGCTGTTTTTGAACTCTGTCCCTCCCTCCACACATATACATACATTATATATATACACACACATACATATATATATATATATATACACACACACATACATATACATATATATATATATATATACACACACACACACACACACACATACATACACACTGCTTGGGTATTCCCCATGAGTAAATGCTGCCATGAATAATGGTCAGGAAAAAAGGAAAATTTGCTTCATACTTACCGTAATTTTATTTTTCTGATCATTATTCATGGCAGCATTACGTTCCCACCCATATACTATAGGAGTTGTGAAGCTAGTTACAAAGACTGCCTGATGGGGAGAATCTATTTATACCAGTTTCAGAGTTATATTTCCTGTCCTTTCTGCTGTAAGGGGAGGAGCTAACCCATGAGTAAATGCTGCCATGAATTATCAGAAAAAGAAAATTACGGTAAGTATGAAGCAAACTTTCCTTTTTTAGGTAGTGATTGCATTGTGCCAAAGCCTCAGATGTGACCATTATACATTTATTAAAAGGACACTATAGGCACCTAGACAACTTTAGCTTGGTGCATACATCACGCCCCTGCACTCTCAGTGCTCAATTCTCTGCCATTTAGGTGTTAAATCACTTTTTTGTACAACCCTAGTGACACCCTGCATGTGACTGACGCAGTCTTCCTAATTACTTCCTGTAAAGTGAGATCTAATGTTTCAACTTCCTTTATTGCACAGTCTTTTTAACCTAGAATTTTTTATCCCCTGCTCTGTTAATAGCCTTCTAGACCCCACAGGAGCCTCATGTGAGTGATTTAAGCTCAATTTACACAGCATCAGGTAAACACTTCTAAAGCAAGTAAAAGTAGGATTAAAAATGAAACCTTTTTTCATGTTGGCTGTTTGAGTCAAAGCCAGGGGAGGTGTTTCAATGACTACAAAGAAACAAAAAGTTATTTAACTCCTAAATGGCAGATAATTCAGCAGAGAGATTGCAGAGGCATGATCTATATACACTAAAACTGCTTCAGTAAGCGGTTTAAAACCTAGTGTCCCTTTAAGCATATTTGTCTGAAATGTTTCATTCATACTTTGGTGCTTTATTCACATAACCCCATCAGTCAAATTTAGGCTAAAAATCTGAAATAATAGCCCAGTAGAAGAAGGTTTCCGGATCAGATATTTTTGCCTAATGGTTACCATTATTTCAATTTGTTACAAGTTGGAGCGAATTGTAGTGGAATGAAAACCAAAAGGCACATTGTTTAACAAAAATAACAATATGTGGAAATCTATCAGATATAGTCACAGCCTGGCTATTTTTGGCTACATTTTTTAAATTCACTACAGTGTGTTTAATGAATAAACTCCTGTGGATATATAGGAAATTGGTAAATGGGGAGAATATTAGCTAGTGCAATCTGACTTTCCAAAGGAATTCTGGGGATTAGTAGCTGCAAACCCAAAAAAACTCTATGGAAAGACAAAGTAACGTTAAGTACAACTCCCACTATTCCAAACTAAGAGCATTACCTGATATGGAGCAAGTGCCATGAGTGGAATGATGCGTTTATCAGGAAACAACAATTCAGACTTTTGGAAATAAATACTATTATCATATATTTCGAATATACAAAATGCAGCGCACTCACTCATTCTCTAAATAGCAATTTCAAATCACACAGAATATATTAGTTTTATTTAATACCACCTCACCTAGGAAAAATAATGGGGGTTTAATTACAGTATATGATTATACATTGCATAAGCCTGCCACAGTGTCAGTTTACCCCATCTTTGGCAGGTCCTACTCTAACAACCTAATGCCTGCTTTTATTAGATTAATCCACTTACTTGGAAAATGCTTCCTCCTGAGACTCTCTGCAGGTAAAGGTTAAATAGGGCCCTGGAATGAGGAAACGAGGCACCTGTGACAGGGAGGGGTGCAAAACCAAGAAGATGGCCTGGACAAATATATATATATACTGTACTTTAATAAACAGTATATAATATGTGTCGGTGCAATAAATTAGTAAAATACAAATTGCAGTTGAACGTAAACAGCAAAAAATGCTGTTGTCATTAAGTAAATTATATATATGTGTGTGTGTGATATAACTCAGATGTTTATAGTCTTGATGTTAGCCTAGGGTGTTCCTTTAACTGTATATGTTAAACTGTAAACTATGCTGAATTACACCTTGCTCTGGCATTGAACCAGGGGTGGGAAGTTGTTCATTTTTAATGACACCAGCTGAATTGCAATTTAGGATCACATTTGGAGATTACTCATACTTTTTGAAGTTTAGAGTCAGAGCATAGTATATACTCTCCTTCGAGTCTCAATCAATGACTCCATGGAATAAACCTCTAGTGAAATAATGCAATCACTTTTAAGCTTTTCATAAAGGCAGAGAATAGAGCAGTGAAACTGCAGGGGCATGTTCTATATACCCAAACTACTTCATACGAGACTATAGTGTTCCTTTAAAGGGACACTATAGTCAACAGAACAACTACAGCTCATTGTAGTTGTTCTGGTGAGTATAGTCAGTCCCTGCAGCCTTTTTGCAGTAAACATTTTGCTTTTCAGAGAAAATGCAGTGTTTACATTACAGCCTAGGGACACCTCCAGTGGCCACTTCTCAGATGGTACTTCCTGGCGCAGTGCTGCACAGTGTCTCAATGAGGAGATGATGATTGGCCTGTCCAGCATTTGGCCCTATCCCGACTCTTTGGTCGATCTCAGCCAATCCAAATTTTTCCCTATGGGACCTGCACAGCACTGGAAAAAAGGAAAGTTTTAACTTTTTCTATGGGGGGACAAGTCACCTAAATAGTGGTTTTACCACTAGTGTCAAAGAAGCAGTTTTTGTGCATAAATCATGCCGCTGAAGTTTCACTTTTGTTCCTGTTTACACAGCCCTAGTCACACCTCTACTGGCCGTGACTAACACATCTTACATGAAAACAAAATGGTTTCATTTTCAATCAGATGTTAACTTACTTTACAACAAGCGCATCAAACTCAAAGGCTAACATGGGCCTATTTCACAAGGTTTAAGTTTATGTGGGCCCTAAACTGATTCCAACCCGGAAGTGACGGGAAGCTGCAAGTGTTGTAATGGCGCTCGCAGAGATATCGTGGTTACTAGTAAACCAACTAAATCGTGATACCAAGCCGACGTGGTCAGGGCCGCCATCGGGGCATGACAACCGTAACGGTTGTCATGGGCCCGGCCGTCCTGGGGGGCCCGGACTGCTCAGGTCGTCCGGGCCCCACATTAAGTGGGTACATACCGGGTCGCAGGGGGCCCTGCGACCCCGGTATGTACCCACAGGGCCAGCCTCTTCTCCTGGGGGGCCCAGCAGCCGGTCACATCAGGGCCCCCCAGAGTCATCTTCCGACTCCGGCATCAGTACGCGGCGCGCGAGGGGGCTGAAGAGGAAGCAGCAGAGGAGAGTGCTCCCTCGCGCGCCGGCCCGCCGGGTGTGGGGGGGGGAAGGAAATTTAAGGGAGGAAAGAAATTGGAGGGA